CCGCTCTGCAGCATCCTCGCCCTGGGGCAGGAGCTGCTCTGCTCGGCAGGCAATTAAAACCGAAGGGAAACCAGGGGGGAAAAAGGAGATGCACAAGAAAAAGCTCACGATTCAGCTGTGCAGGCCTCAGCCTCCCAGTAATTTTCCAGGGAAAAAAAATCTTACTGAATTAACAGAGGAAAGGAAAACCGTCTGAACAGTCCAGATGAGAAACCAGGGAGGGAAATGGTGGCCAGGCTGGCAGCACCAGCACACCCCGTCCAGCTGCTGCCAGCACAGCGCTCGTCCTCCCAGCTGTGGTCCCAAGCATCCAGCAGCACATTTCAGGAAATAAAGAATAATAATAATAGGGGAAAAAGGAATCAAGAGACAAATGGTGCAGGCAGGCTCCTCTCTCCCACCTGCCAGGGCCGCTCTCTGCCCCGGGGCTGGGTGCAATGTTATCTCTACAGACCCAGAAATGGGGTATGGGAGGGTAAAGACATTTGTCACCATGAGACCATTATTTATGTTCACTCCCAGTCTACATCACACCCTGTTCACGCTCACCTCGACTTTCATGTGCTACAAAGGAAGATGTTCAGCTCCTAAAAACTCAGCCACAGAAGGACCCCCCAGCACCAGCTGCCTGGGAGTGATGTGCAGGAGGGGTGTGGGAGAGCCCTGCCGCTGCCTGGCTCCCCCGCCTGCACCGCACAGTGAGGCGGGATGGAGAAATTCAAGTTAACAGGAGGGTCAGGGAGTTATGGGACAAGGAGGGTGGAAAAATTAAATAAAAATTTCAGCCAACTCAACTGACCTCACCAGACCCACTAGAAGTTCAGTAAGGAGGTGAAAACTCCTCTTGTTTTCCAAATTTTATTTGATTACTGTGAAACAGAAGACACTGCATAGGGGGGAGGGTTTTTTTTTAAGTAAGGACCCTGGAGCCTTGGGAGAAAGGCAGGGGGGTCGCAACACAAAGCCCCTATTAACTTTGGTCCTGACTTTCAGGTCACGCATGTTCAGTTCCCTTTACCTGGAAATGAAGATGTTAATTGGAGCCGACAGCTCTCATAGGTTTCCCCATTAGCAATATTTTTAGCCACAGTTGGGCCCAAGTCTTCAAACGCTTTCCCAAGGGAAGGTTTTAACCTTTCTTTTTCAATATCTCATACCACTCACAGGGAAAAAAAAAAAAAAAAGATAATTTTTTTGGCTCGAGGCATACAGAGCCCCAACCACAGTGAACTCCTGTCTCCCCTGAACAGGGGACATGGGAGGAACAGGGAAAAGAAACAGTGGAGAAGCAGCCTGGAGCCCAGATCAGAGCTTGGCACTGTGCAGCAGCATCACCCAGTGGGACGGATGCCCCCCAGCACCCCGAGCCTCCCCGTCCGGGTGATGGGCACTGGGCACGGCCGAACCCGCGCAAGGTGGGCTGGTTCCGGTCCCCTGTGGTGCGGCTAGTCTCCATCACAGTGATGGGACCACACCTTGAGCACCTGCGCTGGGAGCCAGCAGCCAGACATACCTCGTGCCACACGGATGCCCAACCTCTCTGTCCCCCAGCGGGCACAGGACCCACCCATGGGTGACCTCCAGGGCAGCCATCAAATCGGCTTCTCAAGAAGCCCTTTTTCTGCCACAGATCAGATCCTATCCATCAACATTTTGTTAACCTGCTGGACCCAAGAACATTGTGTTTCTACAGCTGGTTTCCTTACATACTGTTATCATCTGTATGTGATGCGCTGTTTTCAGATGAAGCAAAAGCCTTTAGAAACCACAGTCAGCGCTGTCTCCTACCCAGGACTGAAAATTTTTAGAAACCACAGTCAGCGCTGTCTCCTGCCAAGGAATTAAAACTATACAACTTGCTTACTCTCTTTTATATATGTATATGTCTACAAAACTTTTATACATATATATAAAACCCATTAAAAAATATGTAGTATAGACATTTCAATGCCTATACACACATAATCAGGGATGACAGTATTTCCTTATTTTAGAAACCTGCTCCAAAGCACACATGTTCCACTTACAACACCACTGCTTCCTCCACCAAGCTTTGCAGTTTCTCTCCAAGTGGAAACTCACTTTAGCTGAAGGCATGCTGACACCCGAGGAAGCAGCGAGACGCTCCCAGCGGAGCCTCAGTTATTTACCTCATCGTATCCAGCGCAACAGCTCTGGAAAGTTTGAAACGTTATGTCTCCAAGATGGTGACATCGAGGAAGATCAGATAATTTGGTCAGGATGCTTTTAGTCATCTTCACAGGCAGGGCGAGCCCAGAATCACCCCCAGAGCGCTGTGGGGACCACTGGATTTATTGCATTTCACTGGGTCCACCAATGCCCTTGTAGCTGTATCCCCTGAAGGTGACACGTGTTTGTGCCTCGGCAGCGCTGCCCTTCCCTTGGCCCCGGCACCACCGCGGGCCCGCAAACTCACCCCCCTACAAGGAGGAGGGTCCCCTCTCCCACCGAGCATCCCAAACAGGGCACGTGGGGCTGCCACAACAACACACTCCTCCCCAAAAATTATTTCCCTGGTAGATAAAAGTACCTCTGCAGTGCCAGTGCAGAACAGGAGGACACCAGGGACGGCTGCAGGGATGAGCATCAGCCCCCGAGGAAACAATGCTGAGCCAAGAGCTGCGAGCTCTCCCCACCCAGGAACAGCTTGTGAGGGGCTGACCCCCAGCTGATGCATATTAACCCTGGGAATTTGGTCAGCCCAAAGCAGCTGGGGCCAAAACCTGCTCCCCCGCTGCGGGCAGGGATGCTGCAAAGCTCTGGGGCAGCCCTGTGCATCCCCATGCACCAATGCTGTGTGGCTGGTGGGGGACAGGCGAAGGGCAGGGGGTACACACAGACTGCCCCAGGGACCCCAAAAACCAGCCAGAGTCAATAAAATAACCTTTCCCAGGTGCCTGCTCCCCTCCCAGCACACCCTTTTAGTACAGAGCAAGTTAGGGTAAAATCGGCTCCTTTTGCACGAGACCCCACATTCCCGGGCAGTCGCTGCTACTCGAGCGCTGGAGAGACAGAGGAGCCTCCACCTGCTGCTTGGCGTTTATTGTAGTGGAGAGAAAAACAATGTGCACAAGAGGCATTTTGCATAACTTAACAGAAAATAACACTTTTCTTCCGCTCTTTGCAGATGAACAGGCAAAATGACTTCCTACATGTGGCTGTTTTTTTGTGCTAACAGTTCGGTATATTGATAAAATCATGGGTTTCCTCTAACACACTGCGATAGTTGATTTGAAACCCAAAGCTCAGGCTTGGGGGGCTCCTTCGCCGTTTAACACCGCTCCCATCGCCATTTGACTGTGGGGACAGCAGGCGCCGGGTTTGTCCCCGCAGCACACCTGAGAGGGATGTCTGCAGCCAGGGTTTGGCTGGGGATGCCGACAGCTCCGCGGCTCTCGCCACCCGTGGCACATCCTGGCTGCTCTTCCCCAGCACAGCTGGCGAGGTGACCCAAAACGAGAGGGCACAGGCAGCGCCAGCAGCCTCAGTCCAGGGCCAGGGAGGGGATCTTGCAGACGAAGGGGAAGGCTCTGCCGCAGGCATTGTCGTTCCACGAGCGCAGCGCTACCCCCCCAGAGAAACCAAGGTGTTAGCCAAAAAAAGGGTGCGAGGAGGTGACCACACACTGCTCTTGGGACCAGGACCTCCTGCCGTGTCAGGAGGCTTTCCCTGGTCGTGCTTCCATTTGGGCTGCTCCCAGCTGTGTCCCCTCCCAGTATCCCCATCCCCGTCCTGGGGCTGTTGCAGGGACGCCTGGCCCTGGCTCGAACACGGGAGCGGGGAGGCGGCTGTATGGCCAAGAGGTCTGGATACACCTGAATGGTCTCACTGGAAACGAGGGCGTGAGGTGGGGTTTTTGCACAGGCAGGGTCTTGCCTCAGAAAGATGACCCTGGCCAGAGCAAGGGAGGGAAAAACTGGCAAATCGGGAGTTGTTTCCATGGGCTGCATGTGGGAGGGGAAATGGGAAAATTTGATCTTTGGCTAAATTTGGTAATTCTTCCAAGTGGATGATGCTCCCCTCCTGATGCTGCCATAGGAGATGGGCTGTGAGCGGAGGGAAAGCAAGTATATGTGTGTGTGTGTGTATGTACATGGTGAAAAAGAAAACATACCCCTTCTCTGCAAAGAAAAAAAGAAAATAATAATAAAAAATTAAAATGCAAACCCTCAGCCTACCAGCAACCTCTTCAGAACAGCACAAGCTGCAGTGGATTGAATTTGTTTCCATGCAAATCAGATCTAATGTCCCCGCGTCCCCTGGCGCGGCACTCACCGCTGCTGTGCCTGTACCAGATCTGCACGCAGTCCTCCTCCTCGGGGATCGAGTGGATCCCGTCGTCTGGCTGGCTGCCGTCCCAGTAGTGGTAGTCGAAGGAGGAGCCGTCCGTCCACTCGAAGTGACCCTCCTGGCAGGAGGTGAGTGAGGGGCAGTGATGGCAGAGCCCATTTGCCGAGGAGGGACAGACCCTGTCCCCATCCCCATCCCAGTGCCACACAGCCCGGGGACATGGGGAAAGACTGCCACCGCTCAGCAAAGGCCAGACAGCACATTTGAGTTGTACAACTGAAAACTTACCTAGAAAGCCACAGTTTTCCCATAATTCACACCAGGGGAAGGCCAGAAATTAAACCGATATATTTTCTAGTGCACCCACCCAATTCTGTGTTCGTTTTCCTTTTCTTTTCCATTCATTTCTCAATAACGAAAAAAAAAAATTTGGCATGGGACTGTTCTCCTGATAGCCTTGATTTTTCTTTGTTACATATTAGACTATATATTTCCAAGATGTCAGCTTTGAAAAGTTGCAGAGTATCACAAGAAAGCAATGAAACTTGGGGATTTTTTATATTGGAGCTGTTTTCTGTTTATTTGCTCTTCTTGGAACAGCAGTACAAACCTCTTTTTATTTTTATTAATAAAATATGATGTGAAAAACTGGTAATTATTAATTCCAGTAACACTTTTCTTTTCAAAGCAGACCGGAGGGGATGAAATGACAACTTTCCCCTGTGTGCTGCACAACAGACCTCACGCTACCCCCAGATCAATGGGACTGTAAAGAGTGAAGAAGAAAACCAAATGGCTTTCAGGGGGAAACCACAAGGAAGTGACTTCTTAAACGCAATTTCCCGTGTGATTATGGGGAGCTCTCACCTGCCGCAGGTCATTGAGCCCTGTCCAGATGTCGGTGGGGATGCCCGGCACGCGGCTGTTCACCAGGTCGTACACAAAGACGTTTTCTTCCCAGCTGGCAAAACAGAGCAATACAGAGCAGCTGAGGGGGTATGGCAAGCAAATGGTGAGGGGTGCCCCTAAGCATCTGCCCTACATCATGGCCAAATGGGTCGGTCTCTTCTAATTGCTGCTGATTGCTTTCCCAGGGCTGTGCAAGAGGTACGCAGTGTAGAGCTGGGGGAGAGCGAGCTGGGAAAAAGCCCGTGTAGTCATGCGGTATTTCTATCCCTTTTTTATAAGAGTAAAAAATGCAGTTTAGGGGAATTTAGGGAATACTACATCAGTTTTCCTGACAGCCCAAGAAAAGGCATTTTTTTTACATCGCCTTTGTGTGTACAGTGCATCAGACCTGCCCTGGGCTCTGCTGCAGAGGGATGCCCGGGCTGGTGCAGAGGGATGCCCAGGCTGGTGCAGAGGGATGCTCAGGCTGGGACATGAGCCTACAGCTGGCACAGAGGTTGTGCTGTGGGAATGGGACTTCATCCCCATTTTCCTTCTCCCCCAGACAGTGCGAGGGTGGGATGACAAGTTCCTGCGCTCCTCACCTGTGGATGGAGGCCAGCTTGGCTGATCGGATGCCAATGGAGAACTCGGCACAATAGAGGTCAGCTTCAGCCCAGGTCTTGTTGATGGGGAAGTACCGGTAGCAATGGCCTTCGTACTCTGTCCAGAAGAGAGGGCAGGAGTAGGCGTGGACGGGCTCAGGCATGGCTGGGGGCAGAGCAGAGACACCCAGAGCAGCGAGGGTGAAGCAGGACAGCGGGGCAGCCGAGAAGGCAGTGGTGCCCAGCCCTGCTCCCCCACTGCCCGTGCAAATTACCACCAGACGCATGCACGGAAAAAACAGCTGTTGCAGAAGCCATGCAAAAGTCTGCAAAAGCCAAAACACATTTTACAAAAGCTGTGGGTTTCTCAGTTTTAGCATCTGCCTAAATCAGGAGGGACTTTTCAAGCCAGTTTAATGTTGTTTTAGGCAGATGGTGCTTAAAATAAAGGCACTGACTTTTGCTACTCGGGAAACCAAGATAAGGGCTCCTCTCGCCTCTATCAGGCACTACCAGAGCCGCTGTGCCAGGATGGGA